TCACCAGCCCCTATTAAGTGAAATTCTGTATCACTTGTAATTTTTTTCTGTTTTAATTCTAATTTGTACTCTCTTTAAAAAAAAAAAAAAAAAAGTTTTAAAAAAATGATTCTGGGACAGGCAAGGGTACTAGATGTCCCCGGAAGCTGACTCAGCACCTGTCACTCATTCTCGTCAATCTCACCCAGAGACCCAGTGAGACCTCAGTCTCTGACACAGAAACCCTGGCTTCCCAGGAATAACTCCTAAGGCTGCTACTGCCGGTGCCAAGGGGTTGGGCGCAAAAGGGCCTTGCTGAAAGGGGCGGGGCAAGGGCAGGCGATTCCGGGAGACTGTGCACTCTAACCTCCGAGCAGGTAGGTGTTTGCTGATTCCCAGCGCAGAATGGAGCGAAGGGCCTGCCCTTACCAGAGAAGGACCGTGCCTGAGCAGGAACAGGGAGGGCCAGGGGCGGAGGAAAAGGGGGAGGAGAGCCTCATCCCACCCGCCTCATCCAGCAGCTCAGCCTCTGGATTGGCTGTTCCCACTCTCACCTGCTTAGTGGCAGGAGGACTGATTTCATTAAGGAGTCGTTTGCAGTGTCCCCTGACTCCATGAGGCAAGCGAAGAGATGAGATAGGGATCATCCCATGAGATAGGTGCCACCCCATGATGTCAGGACCGACTCAGTCCCTAAATCACAGAGCTGAGGCAGGAAGGCTCTGAGTTTGAGGCCAGCCTGTGCTTCCAAGTGAATTGGAAGCTGACCTGGCTTTGCCATAGTGAGGTCCCATTCAAATAAACCAAGTTTTCTCTTGGTGTCTAAGTGCTTCCTTCCGTTAAAGAGAGTGAGGCACTGTGGGATCCAGGATCCCCCACCTGGCTCTGGAGCTGCCTGGGGTCCCCGCCCTCAGGACAGAGGAGTCTCTACCACCTGCAGGACAGGCACTGAGCTCCCCAGAAGTATCTGCAAACGGATTTCACCAAGTTTCGTCCATTGGCTCTGGCTGCCGGAAGAAGCTGCATTCTTGAGACTGAGCTCAGCCTTGTTCTCTGAAATCTCTTTTTGGAAATTTTGATGACTCAGAGGTTTCTATTGGGTATCTGTGAACTTTAAATTGAAAGCCCCAGGCTTTGTTCTCCGCTAAGAGAACAAAAGGTGTTCTCTTGTAGGGTGGCACGCTGGGTGCCTAAAAATAAAGGAACCCTGCTCAGGACACTTGACGGGCCTTTAGCCCTCACACTCACCCCATGAGAAAGGAGGAAGGGCTTGGATCACCCCAGACTGTGGGCGCAACAGTAACCATTCCAGATGAGAAAAGGGGGGCTGAGAGGTGGAAAGGATAGTGCAAGAGTCGCCTCTCTCTGGCAGGGAGCTTCGAAAAAATTTTCTCCTTTCATAAGGTAAACTGCTGCTCTGCTTCTACAGAAATCAACTTTTTCTGGGAGGAAAATATGGCACACACCGAGATGTGTTATAAAGACTCCTCCGCGAAAGGAAACAAGGGGGTTTGTGAGCATCTGCTTACTTACATCAGAGTCACTCTTTTGTCCTGAGGTCCCTGTAGAGTAGACAAAACTGTAAGCCCTCCTTTCCAGGGGAAGAGGCTAACCCACAGAGAGGGCAAATAATTTATCCAAGGTCACACAGGTGTCACTGGGAAGACAAGCCGGAATGTCACAGGGTCACATAACTTCACTCCTGAGAGGACTCCCTTGATGGGCAGCCAGGAGAGGCCGAGGTGTCACACTGAACAAAGTGTGCTGCATGGCCTGGCCCCTTCTGTGTGGGCTGGAATTTTTTAAAAATTGCAGCCAGGGGGCTGGGGAGATGGCTTAGTGGCATAAGTGCTTCCCTGGCAAGGGTAAGGGCCTGAGTTCAATCCCTGGTTCTGAAAAAAAAAAACAAAAAAAAAAAACTGCTGCCAGGTGTGGTGATGCACACCCGTAAACGCAGCACTCGGGAGGCTGAAGCAGGAAGATGGCCTCAGTCCTGGGCTACATAGTGAGTTCAAGGACAGCCTGAATACATATTGAGGTCCTGTCTCAATAAGTAAGTAAATAAATAAGTCAACAACACAACCTCTTCCCCCTCTTTACTTTCTTTGCTTCAGGGATTGAACTCAGGACCTTGCACTTGTGCCCCTAAGCTATACCCCCAGCTCTTGTCCCTTTCTGTTATTCTGAAAGCCAGTATTCTCTTTTTCCAGCTCTCTGAGCCACTTGTTTTCCTTGCTTTTGTGAGCACCTTTCGGGGACAGGGAGGAATGCGTATTAACCATCTGCTTGCTGTCTTGGGGAAAAGTTTTATAGGGGAAATGACTGAGCACACTTGCTAATGTGATTGTTTTGTTTGTTGGCAACTGAACTTGAACTCTGGGCCTTTGCACTGAGCGGCACTCAGGACTTTAAAACAAAACTAGGGGGGGGGGCGTGTCTGGGGAGATAGCTCAGTAGGATAAGTGCTTCCCAGGCAAGTGCAAGGGCCTGAGTTCAATCCCCGGTCTGCAAAAAAAAAAAAATTGGAGCCAGGATCTCACTAGGTCTTCAAGTGGTTCAGGCTGGGGTCCAGCTCTCGCTCCAGAATGCTGGATCCATTCACACCATATCTGGTTATTTTGTTCTTGGATTATCAGTGACCCACGTTAGTTCCGCTAACAGGCCACACAGCAGGCTCAGTAGTGACATGACAGAGCCCCCTGTCTGTAGCTCCTCTCCAAGCGCCCAGAGGCTAGGAATAGAAGCCTTTGCTTTTGGTGGTCCAAGTATTAGTAACTGTCAGCCACGACGAGCTCACAGTTAGCTTGGTTTTCCAGGGACGATCCCATAGTCAGGGCTCAGGTCACCCCGGGGCAGAGCAGGGCCCTGGTCCAGGCCCGCTGCGTGGCTCCTACTGACCTGAAACTCACTCCAGGCCCCATCCTACCGCCTGTGAAAAGACGGATTCTTTTCCCTTCCAGAAATGGCTTGCGCTTGGATCGAGGCTCTAGTTTTTCATGTTTTGGTACTGAGGATCAAACCCGGAACCTTTGCACTGAACTACATCCTCAGCATCTTCTTCCTTTCCATTGAATCAGTGTCGCTAAATCTCGAAGTTGCCCAGAGTGGGCTCAGATAGGCGATCCTCCTTCTTCAGCCTCCCCAGGGCTGAGATTACAGTTAGCGCCACAACACCCAGAGCTTGAAGACTTCTAGAGTTGGAGAGAGTGGGCGGGAGACAGACAGCACTGCCCCTCAGGAGTATGAGGAAGGGTTAAAGGTGACTCTGGACACTGCGCGGTCGGGAGAAGGCGCGGCCAACCTACACATCGTCTGCGTTCCAGCGCAGCCAACGCCGGCCGCTGGCTTCCGGCCCCAGGTGGTTGGGGGGTGGCCGGGGCGTGGCCTCCAGGACAGACTCTTTTGGGGGCGTGGCCTCCGCAGGCGCCTCTCCTCGGGTTGCGCAGCCGGACAGTGGCTGCAGGCGTCCTCTCTGGCTGCTCCCCTGCGCGGCGTGTTCGGGCGGCGGGATGCGGGGTCCGCGCGCGGCGTGGCTGCTGGGGGGCGCCCTCCTGCTGGCAGCCGCGGCCTTGGGCGATGTCGCGCGGCCAGGTGAGCTGGGCGCGGCCTGGGCAGGGAGGGGCCGAGGGCGCGGCTGGCGGCCCAGGCCGGGAGCGGTGGCCCGGACCCCGCTACCCTGGAGCCCGCTGTGGCGTGGGTCCGCGGTGGACGAGCTGGGTGTGAACGTCAGGCCCAGAGTTTCTGGCTACTTGGGCGTCACGTGAATTTACAAGTGGAACTTTTTGGACCTGCTTTATATATATATATATATATATATATATATATATATATTTACCTCTTTCTCTTTCTCCTTTTTGAACCCAGGACCTTCACACTGAGCTGCATTCTCAGCTGCTTTGATTTATTTATTCTTAAACTTATTTTGAGACAGGGTGTCGTTAAATCCTCCTGCCTCAGCCTTCTATGGTGCAGTGGTTAGGGGAGACCTTCAGGCCCTGGGATCCCAGGCCCTTTCCTGTCACCAGAGCGCACAGTGGAGGCACCGGTTCTGGGACGCAGGCCATCAGCCTGGGGACAACGGCCAGGAGCGGGCCTTGGCGGTACCCCGTGCCAGCAGGTGTGTCGCCCGCGCGTGCTGTGCTGGCGTTGCCGGGTGCGGTGGCCCATTTGGTCCGGGCAAGTGTTCAAAGCCCGCGCGGGACTCCAGGGTGCTGAGCCCCCACCTTGAGAGGGAGGCGCGATCCTGGTGTCCTTAGGGCGGCTTGAATTTCCCCGAGATCCGCAGTCCTCTTCCGAAAGGCTTCATATAAAAGCTTGTGAGCCGGACTGAGGAGTGTGGTTCCTGTCTGGAGTGAGGAAAAGGGTGTTAGGAAAACGGAGCTTGAAACCCGCGCCCCCCATCTAGATGTTAGGGCAACAGAATACAGGTTTTTATAGGAAGTTGACAAGTATTGAAACTTAACATCTGTCTGTTCTCCTGTCTTTTTCTTTTTTGGGGGGGAGGGGAACCGGGCATTGAATTCAGGCCCTTGCGCTTGTCAGGGAAGCGCTTATTCCACTGAGCCATCTCCCCGGCCCCTCCTCTGTCTTCCTCTGTCTTTCAAAGTATGGAAGTTTTAGAGTCCAGGAGCAAAGGTCAGTGTGTGCGAACTTAAGGTGGGTACAGGTGATTCATCGCCTTGCGATTCAGGCGTTTCTGTGGGAACCGCCTCTGGGTGTTGGGCTCCTCCTTTTGTTTACCGAGCGGGGCCGCGGCTGGAGCTATCCCGGGTACAGGCTGAGCTTGATTTCGGCAGAAACAGAAAATCCGGTTACTTGTTAACCAGGCCTAGTGACTATTGTGCCTTGGTTACCTCTCCCTACCCCACTCCCCAAATACTTACTTGCAAGGTAACCTTCCTACTCGGGCTTAGATTAAGTGTGGCAGGACTTCAGGTGCCCGGAGCTTTCCTCCTAGTGTGAAGTGAAATTGGTTTGGATCGGGTCTGGGACTTTGCTCATCTCCTTGTCGTGGGCCCTTCTCAGTGCTGAAGGGCAGATGGGGTTTGATTTTCCTCCTCAAAGCCTCATCCCAAAGACAGCCTTCTGCAAAGGACTCCTCCGAGTAAACTCAGTTTAGAGGTGGGCGACACCAGCTTGGAGTGGGCCAGGCAGGAGAAGGCCCCTGCCCACTCTATGCCCCTCATGGTTATGGATGTGTATTCCTGTAAATGTGTTTAATCTCTCCCTTCCGGTCCAGCTCCAGAGGCTGGGACCCAGCAGCTCCCAGTCCCTGTCCAGCCTAGTGTTAGTGTGCTAGGCCGGAGACCTTGTGAACAGCAGGCAAGGGGCTCACGTGGGGTGCATGCGTGAATCCAGCCCTCTGGGAGGCTGAGGCTGGAACGTGCCAAGCTTGAGCCCTGTCTGGGCAATTTAGTGAGACCATCTCAAAAAAAAGGGGTGAGGGGCTGGAGATGTAGCTCAGTATGAAGGTCCTGGGTTCAAGTCCCAGTACTGAAAAAGAAGAAAGCAAATGGCTTGAGGGGACTTGCCCAAGTGAGAGGTGACAGTCTAGTCAGAGTGGTGTTTAAGCTAGCTTTTCACAGACACATTATTCTCCATACCATGATGTAAGACAGAGGTCCTGGTAAAGTTCCATTAATTTTTTTTTTTTTAATTTTCTTTTCTTTTTTTTTCTGGGACCAGAGACTGAACTCAGGACCTTGTGCTTGCCAGGCAGGCGCTTAAGCCACTGAGCTATCTCCCCAGCCCACTCCATTTCTATTTTGGAGACTAATTTCTGTTCCCACAGTTGGCATTTTATTTATTTATTTTGTGTTTTAATTATAAAGTAAAATGTGATTACTGTAGAGGAAAAAATAAAAGGAAGAAATTGAACTCATCCCGAACCTCAATACTGAAAATAAACAGTGCTAATAGTTTTGCTTTATATCTTCCTTGCTTTTATATACCAGTGCATAAAATATATATTAAGAATATAGAAAATCTTTTTGTACAAGTATGAGGATACGTAAATTCATCAGTAGCATGCCATATACACAACGGGGCATGGTGGCACATGCTTGTAATCCCAGCATTTGAGGCTGAGGCAGGAGAATTGCTGTGCGGTCAAGGCCAGCCTGGACTACATAGTGAGTTCAGAGCTGGCCCAAACTGCATAGAGAGACCCTGTTTAAAAGAAAAAAAAAAAAAAAAAAAAAACCCAAAAGGAAAACCCATTTTAGTGTCTGTAAACTCTTATGGGAGGGTACACTACTGTCAAGTTAGGGGTGTTTGTGGTGTTTTGTAAAAGGAGAGAACCCCAGTGAACATCGACATGCCCCTTTGCTTGCCTCAGAGTTACTAGTTAACCTTGGTAGACAGTGTCTCCTGAAGTCTGTTTGACTTTTTTATGGTTTTATTAGCTGATGACTGTTAAGGGAGATGGTTTACCCTGAAAGAACGGTTATGAAATCTGCTGAAAGTGTACCTAAGGAGGGGCCCTGGCAATTCACATCTTATTTCTCAGCCTGTGTCCTAGAGTTTGGGAGCTGAGGAATTTGGGGTGAGGGGCCATGGAATAGGAAAGGCAGGAGGAGAGCTCACAGAGGTGAAGAGATGTCACTGGTACTCGGTTTGTTGGGGAAACTGGGCCCATTCTCAACTAGCAACCCTGCTTACAAATAATGCATTTTTCTAGCACTTGGGAGGCTGAGGCAGGAGGACCACTGAGTTCGAGGCCAGCCTGAGCGGCATAATGATAACCTGTCTCGAAAAACAAACCAAGGGCTGGGGAGATGGCTCAGTGGAATAAGCGCTTCTCTGGCAAGCGCAAGGGCCCGAGTTCAGTCCCTGGTTCCACCAAAAACAAAAAACAAAAAACAACAGCAACAAAAATCCCAAGCAAATAATACATTTCAGAGAAAAGGAAGGATTCTGTTATACATATTATCCTGTAATTTATGTATTTATTTTTAACCCAATAAATCTGTTCATGATCAGTATGTCCAAATTGATTTAT